ACCCTTCTTCAGAAAATCATTTTCTGAAGAAGGGTCTAGGCCCGAAACGTCAGCCTTCCTGCTCCTCTGATGCTGCTTGTCCTGCTGTGTTCATCCAGCTCTACACCTTGTTATCTCAGATTCTCCAGCATCTGCAGTTCCTTCTATCTCTGAAACAATTTTAACCCCACTGCGAAGCCAGGTTTTCTGAAGAAGGGTCTAGGCCCAAAACGTCAGCCTTCCTGCTCCTCTGATGCTGCTTGGCCTGCTGTGTTCATCCAGCTCTACACCTTGTTATCTCAGATTCTCCAGCATCTGCAGTTCCTACTATCTCTGCCCTTGAACTGATTGGCTGTCTCTAGGCCATCTCAGAGTGCAGTTATAATTGTGGGACCACATTGAAGGCCAGACCAGGGAAGGACAGCAGATTCCCTTCGCTAATGGATGCTGGAGAATCAAATGGGGCAATTAAGGGCGGGGAACAAATGCTGGCCTTGTCGGAGGTGCCTGTTTCCTGTGAAAGAATAAAGAAGACAAAGTGTACATCATTTCATAAGAGAAAGGAGCAGTATTTAATTGTGAGATAATTGAAAAATTCACCATCCTCGAGTCAAAGTGACCAATACTTAGAGATTAGTTTTGAGGAAGGGTCATTGGACCCGAAACATTAACTCTGATCTTTTCTTCACAGATGCTGCCAGACCTGCTGAGCTTTTCCAGCTACTTCTGTTTTTGTTTCTGTAATACTTAGAGACTGTTTATGTTGCAGGTTGCTGCACAGAGGCCTGGGAGTTTGAAGCGACTGGCACGGCAGTTCCTGTTGATGTGGTCCTGCTTTGGGACAAGAGTTATTCGGGACATGACATTGCACAGTGCGCCAAGTTTTGGTAAGTCATCCCTTGTTCAGTTTTGTGTGCACTCGTTGCAGTTACCATAACCGTCTTACAATCACATTCACATAGAAGAGACTGCATCGCAGACCAGAGCTCATTTATAATCCTGCCTTTTATTGTCCTGTTATTCTTCATCCCAGAGAGTAGTGGAGGTTGGGTCATTGAATGCATTCAAGATTTCGTTTGGCAGCTTTTATGGGAGGACAGGTTTGAAAGTGGAAAATGGAACAGAAGGGTAGTGTTGACTGTGAGGAGAACTGAACATAAAAGTCAGAAGGTTAGGCTTCAGTTATACAGGGCATTGCTGAGACATCTTGTCAATCATGTACACTATTAGTCCCCTTATTGAAGGAAGGATGTCATTGGAAGCAGTCAGAATAGATTCACTTGACCAATACATGGAATGGATGAAAGAAACCAACAGAACTGCGGCTGCTGGAAATCTGAAACAGAAACAGAAATTGCAGGAAAACCTCAGCAGGTCTAGCAGCATCCAGAGAAAAAGCAGAGTTAACATTTCGGGCCTAGTGACCCTCCTTCTGAACTGATGGTAGCTGGGAAAAGGATTTTTTTTATATACAGAAGATGGGGTGGGGTATGGTGGGGGGAAGGGGGCAGACTAAACAAAGAGAGAGAAAAACAATAGTCCCCATTAGCAGCTATACATTCCCCCAATTTGCCCTTTTAACCACTTCTTTGTCTGTCCAATTGTTTGTCTCAAACTGACGTTTTCCCAGCCACCATCAGTTCTGAGGAAGGGTCACCGGAACCGATACGTTAACTCTGTTTTCTCCTTCACAGATGCTGCCAGACCTGCTGAGCTTTTCCAGCAACTTCTGTTTTTGTTTTTCTCACTCTTTGGGCTCTATCTCCACTCATCATCTACTCTCCCCCTTCCAGCCACCCCATCTTCTGTGTTGTTTTCTGAGGAGAGGTTAGACAGGTTAGGCATGTTCCTGCTGGAGTTTAGAAAAGTAGGACACAACTTCAAATGAAAATTTCAGACCCTGGGAGATCTTGGCATGGTGCACGTGGAGAGAATGTTTTCTCATGGAGGATTTGGAATGATGGCTCACTGTTTAATAATAAGAGGTTATCTGTTTAAGACAGCAATAAGAATCTTTTCTCTCTGAGGTTAATGAGTCTCCCATACAAGGTAGCTGAAGCAGAGACTTTGAGTATTCTTAAGGTAGAGTTAGATAAATTCTTGTAAAGCAAGGGGTGAAAAATTATTGGGTGTGGAATAATCAGATTAGCCATGATTGGGAGAGCAACATTGTGGGGCAGACTGACCTATTCCTGCTTCTAGTTCATATATCTTACAGCAGATTTCTGCAGGTGGCATCTTAAAATGACTTAAGTCAGGCATTCAAGATTTACCAAAACATTTGATCTTAAGTTTCTCCACATGAACTGGACTGAATGATGTAGTTAAACAATGTATTTTATAATTTTAAGGCACTTCACTGTTTAAAGGGAGAAGTAGTGAGGGGATGTCTTGATAGACAGATTGAAAATACTGAAAATATTAAGTGAGGAAGATATCTCCAATTGTGGGGGAGGCCAGAAGCAAGGATCACAAATAAATTTTAAAAACCCACTAATAAATCCAATCATGAACTCAGGAGAAATTTCTTCACAATAAGCGTGGTGTAAAAGTACTGCTCACCACCCAGGGAGAATTGTGGCCAATAATGTAGAAGGGGAAGCTGGATAAATATACAAGATGGGAATGAGAGAAAGAAATATTGATAGGGTGCGATGAAGAGAGATGGGAGGGGGCTTGTGCAAGTTCTGTCACCCACACTCCATACCCGTGCGCCATACCAACTTCCCTCACCTACTCATTTCACCAACACCACAGTCCTTCTGCCTCCTCAGGCCCCTCACCTGCTCACTCCCACCCACCCTCTCCACCCAATACCACACCCAATACACCCCCACCCACCCACTCTCTGGTGACCTTCATGTACAATGAGAATGATGGTGAAATTGGCCAAACCAATCACCAATTCCGCACTCCATGTGATCTTCTTTTCTATCAATGTGAAATTCAGGCAGTATAGCTCCATCCAAAATGAATTTGACTCTACCACACCCTAACAGGCTATGTGGGATGTTCTGAACTACCATCAGCCCATTACAGACAGACTATCCATTAGATAGTGTTTCCCTCACTGGACACACCAATCCTGCCATATGTAACCAGGTGACAAATATCTCCATGAAGGAAAAGCCCAGCACCTCCTGTAAACTCCAAAAGCACTGCTATTGTGAGTACCTTATTGTGAACATCTTGGGGATTGCCATTGACCAGATGCATTTTTGGACCAAGCTGCAAGAGGTCAAGGGCTGGAAATTCCACAGAGAGTAGCTCCGCCTCTGTCTCCTCAACTCTGTCCACTATCTTCCAAGAGACAAGTGTGTTGTAATGTTCTGCACGTTCTCAAATGGTGAAGCCACAGTTTCATGCAAGAAGCTGGACACCAGCCAATAAAGAGATCCATTGGATCACTGCTTGATCACTGAAGTCTCAATGCCCTCCACCACTGCAACAAGGTGACTAGAGAGTATACAAGCGACTAGGTACACTTCAGGAGCTCCCCTGTGAACTCCAACACTACAAAGTAAACAATTGTATTATCAAGGGATCACCATTTGTAGCAAGTTCTCTCTAAGTCCTAAACCATCCTGACTTGCATATTCATCAACCTTCCTTCAGTGCTGTTTTGGTCCAAAAACTTGGAATACATTTGCGGGAGTGACTTTATTTAAATGGGTTGTAACGTACAAGGAGACAAAGGGTTCCACATCCCAGGGTAACAACAAGTCGGTAATAAATACAGTACTGCAAGTACCACCTGCAGATCAAGATTAAAATTTCATTTTGTGGATGTTTTGAGAGCGAGAATTAACTCCTTCATGAATGAATATTCTGTCCACATTTTCAAATATACAGCATGACAGTACAGCAGTTATATTACTGGACTGAACTATTGCTTCAGTGATATGAGTTCAAATTCCACCATTGTAGCTACAGAATTTAATTAATTAAATGAACAGCTTTAGTAATGGTGACCACAAACCTACTGGATTGTTGTGAAAGCCCATCTGGTTCATTAATGTCCTTTAGAGACAGAAATCTGCCATCCTTACCTAGTCTGGCCTACGTGTGACTCCAGACCCATAGCAATGTCGTTGATTCTTAATTGCCCTCTGAAATGGCCTGGCAAGCCAATCAGTTCAAGGGCAATTAGGGATGGGCAGCAAATGTGGTATGTGCCAGCGCCACCCACATCCCATGAAAGAATAAAGAAAAACAGTATGAGGGATCTTGGTATGTAGTGAGAGTGGATTTAATTCAAACTTGCTACAAATATACTGGCCAAGTGATCAAACCGTGAATAGGAATAGAAACTAAATATAGTGTTAAATCAAAATAAGAGTATTATTATAATCCTGGAGATTTAGATAATTTTAGAATTCACTAAAGGAGGACCAAATGATTGACAATGAAGAGAAAACAGAATATGACACTTTAGTGATTGGAACAAGGTGATTGGGGATGTTAACCTGGGCCAATCAGGGAGTCCTGACTGACAGAGATAAATAGGCATCTCGGAGATTCTCACTACTCTAGGGTCTGGCACGGAGCTAGCCAGTCAGTGTCCATATTCTGTGCATGTGTAAATAAAGAGTGACTTGGTGATGGGACACCGGCCTCCGTGGAGTTATTTTAGACACTAAGCTAGCAATATTCATAAAAACAGATTGTGAAAGCTTCTATAGGTATAAAATTGGAAAGGTTAGTAAAGTAAACTTGGGGCCTTTATAGGCAGAGACAAGAGAAATTATAATACATCATAAGAAAATACTAGCAATATTAAACAAATGCTTTGCAGCTGACTTCAAAATCATTCTGGAGAAATTAATGGAACCAAGAAGCATAAATGTTCTGGAGGCCAGCATCCTAGGGGTTGAAAATGATAAATATGGAGATAATGGATGTATTGGTTTTGATCTTCCATGATTCCCTAGATTCTAGGACAGTTTGCAAGAGTTGGAAAGCAATAACCATAAGGACATAGGAATCAGGATCAGCAATAGGCTATTTGGTCACTCGGACCTGATCTACCATTTAATAAAGTCATAGCTGATACTCAACCTAAATTCTATTCTCTTGCACAATCTTTGTATTCCTTGATCCCCTTAAAGTCCAAAATATCTATTGTTCTCAGCCTTGATGTCTGACCATCCATTGCTCTCTGAATAAAGAATTTCAAATACTCACAGTCCTCTGGGTGAAGATATTTCTCCTCATCTCAGTCATAAATAGAGAACATCATATTTTCAGACCTGTGATGTAATTTCTAGAGTGCTCAGTGGGGAATCTTCCTACCAACATCTATCCTGTTAAATGCCTTAAGAATTTCACATTTCCATTCATCTAAAATCCAGAGAATTATACGCCCACAATACTTGTAGGACAGTCCCCTCCTCTGAGGGATCAGTTGAGTGAATTCTCTCTGCACTCTCTCCAAATATAACCACGTCTTTGGAGCACCTCTATTAAATTTGCCTTAACTGTTTCTGCTTGTAAGGAGAACAATGCCATCTTCAGCAGTTTTTCCATGTAATTAAGGTCTCACACCTCCAGGACTATTGTAGTAAATCTCCTTAATGTGCAACTGGAATCAAGTCCATGGCACAATGAATAACACAGCTGTGCATGAGAGGAGGAAGTCTGGGGGACGTGGGGTAGCAATCTGGGATTCAATAGTTCAGCGAATTGAGCACAGCCACTGATGCGACTCTGTGATCGTAATGCCTCTCCAATACCAAAGTCTTGGATGTCACTAAGCAACTGCAGAATACTCTGAAGGGGGAAGGTGAACAGCTAGATTCATGGTTCATGTTAGTACCATTATAGATGGCATGAGGTCCCGCAGGCATATTTTAGAAAGCTGGGAAAAGATTTGAATTTTGCTGAAATG